TCTCGCTCTTGCTCAGGCTGGTTTCGAACTCCTGAGCTCAAACAATCCGCCTGCCTCGGCCTCCCAGAGAGCTAGGATTACAGGCGTGAGCCACCGGCTGGGCCTGGCCTTTCTTTATATAAGCACTTTTTGCACCATGACTGGAATGCACCAGCCCCTGTCCTATAGCTCTCCTATGTTTAGCAGAGAGAAAAAACAAGGCATTGTTCTATGGGCATTAGTCCCTTGTGATGGTCTTATCTCAGTCAGCACTGAAGCTAATCTGGTCTTGACATTTTTGCATTACTCACAGCTCATTCTCCGACCTTGACATACTCCTCACCTATCTTTAGAGAAGCTAAAGGTCGCACTGTCATTGGAGAGCTAGGAGATTCATTCACTGTGTTTGTTTTCCTTAATACTGTCTGTTTAGGGAAAAGAGAAGTGATTTCAAAGAATTCAGTTAGATTTCAGTTAACTTTGGTTTATTTGTATAAGTAAAGAGAAAATAAACACTGATAGTAACAAAGTAAGGGGTAATTTAAAAAATGTTTTATTTGATGGGGTGTGGTGGCTCACACATGTAATCCAAGCACTCTCAGAGCTTGAGGCGGGAGGATTGCTTGGACCCAGGAGTTCGAGACCAGCCTGGGCAACACAGTGAGACCTCATCTTTACAAGAAAATTTTTAAAAATTAGCCAGGCGTGGTGGTGTGCACCTGTAGTCCCAGTGCCTCGAGAGGCTGAGCAGGAAGATTGTTTGAACCCAGGAGTTGGAGGCTGCTGCTGTGAGCTGTGATCATGCCACTGCACTCCACCCTGGGTGACAGAGTGAGACCCTGTCTCAAGAAAAAAAAAAGTTTTATTCTACAGTGTATGCACAGATAGATACAAATGCATTTTATTTAGATAATCCTACAAGCAGAAGAACAAGTATTTCTCTATTACATAGAAGAATTATGAATCTGATCTTTTTTTTCATGATTTTGTTATACTTGTTATCTTTTTAGGTTCACTAAAACTATTTTTCCCCTGTCTTTATTAATGCTTATTTCTCCCTTTTGTGTTTTTTGCTAGTTGTTTTATTTTGGGGGCTAGATATTTTTTACCTTTTTTGATTCCTGATAATTATTAAAATTATTATAAATCAATAGTAGTACTGGAATTTCCCTTTCCAGTTAAATAATTACAATTCTAATGAAACTTCTCACAGTATCAGTCAACCTGTATATTTTTTAGAACAGTTACAAATCAATTTCTTATGGTATTGGGCTTTATTTGATGTGTGTTCTTAATATGTTAGAATATCTCTTATTTATAATTATGAAAATAAATTTTCATATGTAGCAGTATATAAATTTGTCACATATTTGTGATGATAAAATGTATACAACCAATAAATGCATATTTATTCACATAATTCCTCCTTCCTGTTTGCATTGCAGCCGTCTTGCTTCTGAGATGAGAAAAGGATAGGAGGCTGTTATTTGCCCTTAGTGAGTTAAGTTGTGGTAGCCTCTACTGTGTAATCTATTTCTCTGGTCAGTACTGACAGTTTTAGAAATAAGATTATCCATTCAACAAAGGTTGAGAATGCTCTATAAATGCAAGATGATTACACCAAAAACAACTTTCAGTGATATGCTTGGAACGTTTCATTCTTACTTTGGAGATCTCTGTAACCAGGTTTTATCCAGTCAATTAGGATTTTAAGGTTTTATTTTAATTGTTACATCAGAGTAAAGCTTTTAAATTTATTTCAGATAGACGTGAGGGTAGAAAGGAATACATCTATCCCTTTGATTTGCAGTAGGATTAAAAAAAACAATAGAAACTCCAAAAACTATTTTCATCTTGCCCTGAATTCTGAGTGTCAGGAGATAAGGCGGAACAGTGCTTCTCTAATCCGCTGTTGAGAACACAGTGGCTTTGTTTTCAGGCTCCCACAGGACCCAGCAACTCCTAACAGTAAATTACCCTCTAGCTGTGGCAGATGGATGAACTTCTCCGTCATGTGTTCTGTACAGTGCGGAAGTCCCTGTGCTGAGTCTATTGGGCCTCACTATAGTGTTAGTTGGCAGTGGTAGACCAGGATATAAATAATGTGAAGACAATGTTGCATTTCCTCCTCTAAACTGATGGTTTGGAAGGCAAAGGATTTGCTTGTAGACAGTACACTTTTTCCTTTGCATCAGAAATAATAATTCTTTCTTCTGAGAGTGTTGATTTTGCCACTCTTTACTCTTTTGGGAGAATTCTATGAAGTGGATGCTGTACTTGATGCTTCCATAAACTTTGTCTTGTTTAATCCTCACAACACCCTTACAAGATGGGGCTAAATTGATATTTCACAGACAAGGAAATGGAAGCTCAGAGAAGTTGGAGAGACTTTCTAAAGGCATTCCAGGTACTGCTAGAGCTGGGATTCACTCGAGCCTTCTGCCTCCTGAGCCCTTGTTCTTCCCTAGGCATTAGGCAGCCTTTCGTTGTTTCCACATTATCTCCAATCATTCACCCAATAGTCTTCTCTTCTTGCCAAGCCAAACACCTCATTGTTTAGTTTTGTGATGTGTAAATAAAATTCCTTGAATAGTAATTGGATTTTTTTGCTCCTGATCTTTAAATTTTATATACTAAGTTTTGTTTGCTTTTTGCCTTAGTAAGTTAAAAAAAGTTCCTATCAGCAGGATATTCAGTTTCTTTTGAGGTTGAAGTTTTGGTTTTCAGTTCTTTACCCATTATTCAGTTTCTTTGATTTATATCCAGAACTGTAAATTACCTACTTTTTAAATTAACAGTAAGTCTTATCTTCAGATAAATCATCAGTAAAATCAAATTATATATGAAATAAAATTTTGTTCAGAGGGGAGTTTTACTTGAGATTTGTTTATCATACAACAATTTGTACAAGAAAGAATTTTGCTTGTTTTATTTTTCAGTAGAGAAGTGGACTAAAGGGAGACACTTTTGCCTATTGTGACTTAATCCTGTGTAGAATCTGTTTTGTTGTGCTTTGTTTTTCCAGTCTAGCATTTACCTGCCCTCCAGACTTGGTTTCTGGCTCATCCTCCCCTGCATTATTTATGTTCCATCCCAGTGGTATTCTACTCTGGCTACACATTGGACTCAACCTAGGGAGCTTTATAAAATGCCAATGCCCAGGTCCCACCCCAGAAAAATTAAAATCAGAATCACTGAGAGTGCATGCTAGTCATCTGTATTTATCTGTCACTTCTGTAGATGAGTCCAGTGCGCCTAGATGAATCCAACGTGAGTTCAGTGGCTGAAAAGTGGTTGAAAGGACCACTACTGCATGTTGCTGTTTCTGTTGGCAAAATAGCTTAGTTCTTAGGTGTGCTGATTCAAAAGCAAACAAAAGAACAGGGAGGGGGAGTGAAAATGAAAATAACCACACTGATTATTTCTGAAACATCCATATTCCTGTGTAAAATCTTAAAAGTTGATTAAATGAAGTAGTAATTAGAATTTAGTATATATTTCAAGGCCAGAATTAATAAATTGCTGTGTTTCATCAGGTGGTTTATGAAATATCAGCACGTAGACCCAGAAGAAGCTGTGAGGATTCACATTGATGTCCAAACAAAGAAATCTGTGGCAATTCATTGGGGAACTTTTGCCTTAGCAAATGAGGTGAGTTTGATTGTGATAATAAAAAGAACTTTGATTATGTGTCAGACCAATGATAGGACTGAGGCATCACCGTCCCCTAGTGATGTTTTCAGAGACCAGACTGTGGAATCAGACATGCATAGGCACCACAGTCATCATACGAATTAGGATGGTAAGTCATACTCATTAGCAAAATGATATTTATATACAGTGAAAAAGCCTCATTGTGTGTTTTTCTTTTGGCTTATTTCTGTTGTTAATGGAGCATGTGTTTTAGATAACCAAAAGTCTGTGTGTGTGGTCTGGGGAATAGAAAAATGAGCCAGCATGTCTGATCCCTCAAGGAGGCTCTTGTTCTAGAGGAGGATGGAGGACATGTACTCGATACAGATGTTGGAAGGGGGAAGGGCTGTCATGTGGGACAGATGAAGTGGTCACTGATGGGAGGGATCAAGGTGAGCTTCATGGAACAGTGACATTTGAACTTGGCTCTGAAAAGGCAAGGAGGGAGGCATTTCCAGAGGAGGAAAGGGCAGAGCATAGGCTCAGAGGTGGTAAGCATGGGGAACAGTGAGGAGTCAGTTCAGCAGGAGAATGGGGGGCTCAGAGGGTGATGGGAGAAGTAAGGCTAGACGGCAGTGTGAAACTTTCTGGAAATATGTTATTCACCCAGTAAACATTGATTCAGTGTCTGCTATGTGCCAGGCATTGAGATAAATGTGGTTTTATTCCTAGACTAAAACAGAAGAGCTGATTTTTCCTTAGGGGAGCTGGATCCTAGAGCTCTACTACACGTCAGGGTTCTGCGATCAGAGGAGAGCATAAAGCTTTCTCTCCTTTCCTGGGTCAAGGGCCTGCCCTGAACAAAATTTAGAGATGGATAGTTAGAACTTGGCTTCTTTGCTTTCTGTGGCATCTTTCACATCCCAGAGCCTCTCTGCAGGAACCCAGTGTTTTCTTGCTGCTTTAAGCATTTCCCTTATCTCATTTCTGGCCTTCCCTCTCCCAGAGATGCAGCCTGTTCCAAAATTACCTAATTACATTGCTTGCCTATTCCCCCCCTACCCCCAATCAAAATTCCTATCCAGTGATGCAGCAATTCTTAGCCACACTATTGGGAGAGGGAATAGAATGGATAAATGAATAACCACGAGGGGTGGAGAGGATGAATGAGAATGTAAATATGCATGTGTGAGTGTGTGTGTGTGTGTGTGTGTGTGTGTGTGTATTTAGGGAAGACAGATGTTTGAGACTGGTTTCCA